ACAGGAAAAGATAAATGATGCAATCATTATTCAAAAAAGATAGAATGACTATAAGACTAGCACACAAAGCAGATTTCAGAACAGGGAATATTACCTTCGATAAAAAAATCAACATATAAAAACAAGAATGCATTTTAATGTGTAAGATTTGTCCCAGAAATACAACATTAGTTGAAAATTATTTGATGTAATTCACATGCCAGGCTTCAAAGACAAAGATAATCATGTCTAGACAGGTAGAAAAAGGACTTGATAAAATTCAACATTCATGACAAATTAGAAATAGAAGGAAATTTCCTCAGTTTGATAAAGGGCATCTACAGAAACACCTATAGTTAACTTCATTCTTAATCGTTAAGCATTGAATTTTACCCTAAGATAATGAACAAAATAAGACTATTTCTCTCACCACTCTTATTCAGGGCCACACTGCTAGTTTTAGCCAGTCCAAAAAGACAAGAAAAATAAGCATACATGAAAGGTATTCAGATTAAAAAGGAAAAAAATAAGACTATTCATAGGCATCATTAGTGTTTACATAGAAAATGTCAAGAAATCTAAAAACAAACAAACAGAAAAACAGAACAAGTCTAGAATTAGTAAGTAGAGTTAACGTAATAACAGAATGAAGATTAAAATATAAAAGTGTTTACTAGTTCTATTCAGTAATAAAAATTTGGACACTAAATCTTAAAAAAATACTATATACAATAACAAAAAATTAAATCTTAGGTATAAATATAACAAAATATGTTCAGAATCTGTATTATAAAATGTATAAAATAATTAAACACTAAAGAAGACCAAAACACATGAAGATGTATACAAAGTTTCATGAATTGGAAGATTTAATATAATATAGATATTAATATTTTCCAAATTAGTGTACAGATTTACACAAACTTAATAAAAATTTATGCATGAATTCATTGTAGCTATAGGAAAATTTAATCAAAAATATGTATATAAAATTAAAGGTAATATAAGTTGAGGAGTGAGATAGCTGGGTCAAAAGGTGGTTCTATTCTAAGTTTTCTGGATTGGCTGCACTGTTTTCTGGATTGGCTGCACTAATATGCAGTCCCACCAGCAATGTATGAATCTGGCCTTTCCCCCACATCCTCGCCAACACTTATTGTTGTTTGTATTCTTGATAGCTGCCATTCTGACTGGAGTGAAATGAAATCTTAGAGTAGTTTTGATTTGCATTTTTCCAATTACTACCGATGTTGAACATTTTTTCATATATTTGTTGATCAAATGTATATCTTTTTCTGAGAAGTGTCTGTTCAGTTCTTTGGCCCATTTATTGATTAGGTTATTTGGTTTTTTGGTATTAAGGTTTTTGAGCACTTTATGTATCCTAGAGATTAGTGCTCTGTTGTGCTTGTGGTAAAGATTTGCTCCCATTCTGTGGGCTTTCTATTCACCTCAATGATTGTTTATTGGCGAGAAGCTTTTTAGTTTGAATCTATCCCATTTACTGATTCTTGGTTTAAATTCTTGCACTACAGGAGTTTTATTAAGAAAGTTGGGGCCTAATACGACATGATGGAGATTTGGGCCTACTTTTTCTTCCATTAGGTGCAAGGTCCCTGGTTTAATTCCTAGGTCCTTGATCTACTTTGAGTTTTGTGCATGGTGAGAGATAGAAATTTAATTTCATTTTGTTACCTGTGGATTTATAGTTTTCCCAGTATCATCTGTTGAAGAAGTTATCTTTTATTCAATGTATGCTTTTGACGCCTTGGTCTAATATAAGATAATTGAAGTTATGTGGGTTAGACTCTGTATCCTCTATTCTGTACCATTGGACTACAGGTCTATTTTAATGCAAATACCATTCTGTTTTTGTTACTATTACTTTGTAGTATAGTTTTAGGTCTGGAATAGTAATGCCACCAGCTTCACTCTTCTTGCTAAGGATTGCTTTAGCTATTCTGGGTCTCTTATTTTTCCAGATGAATTTCATGATTGATTTTTCTATTTCTATAAGGAATGCCATTGGGATTTTGATTGGGATTGCATCTGTATAGTGCTGTTGGTAGTATAGTCATTTTGACAACATTAATTCTGCCTATCCAAGAACAAGGGAGATCCTTCCATCTTCTAAGGTCTTCTTTAATTTCTTTCTTTAGCATGTTGTAGTTTTCATTGTAGATGTCTTTCACCTCTTCCATTAAATTTATTCCCAATTATTTTTTTTTAGACTATTGTAAATGGGGTGGTTTTCCTAGTTTCACTTTCAGCAGATTTGTCACTGATGTACAGAAATGGCTTTGATTTATGGGTGTTGATTTTATATCCAGCTACTTTGCTGAATTCATTTATTAGTTCTAGGAGATTTCTGGTGAAAAGTTTTGGGTCTTCTAGGTATAGAATCACATTGTCTGCAAATAGTGATAATTTGAATTCTTCTTTTCCTATCCTTATCCCTTTAATTTCTTTCATCTGATTGCTCTGGCTATTTTGTGTATAATCATGACTTGAAAAATTGTGCTCTATATGTAATATGAAATTATTTGCATTCTACAGTCATGTATAACGAATTAGATTTTTAAAAAAATTAAAGGGACTAGAACAGTCAAAATAATATTAAAAAAGAAGAGTTAATATAGAGGCCCCATGCTGTTCAACCTTAAGATACTCTATAGAGCTACAAGATCAAGTAGTATCAGTGAAAGGATAAATGCATGAGTTAATGATAGATCATACACTCAAACATTACTAGCTGATTTTTGACAAATATGCAAAGGCAATTAAATGGAACAAGGGAATCTTTTCTATAAATGATGCTGGAAGAACTGACATCCACTGTTTAAAAAAATAATTCTCAACCTGCATTTCACAATATAAAAATTAACTCAAATGTAAATTTAAAATGATACAATGCAAAACAAACTAAATGTAAAATTAAAAACCATAAAAGTCTTACATGAAAATAAGAGAAAAACATATTTATGACCCTGGCTTGGGAAAAAATTCTTAGATATGATACCAAAATCATGACCTGAAAAAGAAAAAAAAAATATTGGACAATTATACTTGAGGGAATGCTTGGTAAAATAAAAACACCAGCCACAGGCTAATAGAAAATATTTGCAAATTACCTATCAGAAAAAGGACTTGAGAGCATAATATATGTAATGAACACTTAAAACCAAATAATAAAAGAAACCAATTATTTACAAAATGGACATAAGTCATCAGATATTTCATTAAAGAATATATAGAAAGAGGGCAAATAAACATGTGAAAAGATGTACAACATCATTACCTATTATGTAAATGCAAATTAAAGATTATAAATATCAATGGAACTATACCCACAGACAGGATTCTCTTGACGAATCACCTTGGTATTCTTACCTTGATAACACCTGGCAACCTGATTTTTCTCTATTTGCCTCAAATGTGACATAATTGATACACTATTATAAACTTATTAGAATGGTTTAAATAAACTGACACTATCAGGTCCTCCTAAGGTTAGAAGAAATAAGGACACTCAGACACTGTTGGTGAGTACATAAAATAGTACAGCCCCTGTGGAAAACAGTGGTGTAGTTTCTTAGAAACTTAAATATACACTCAAAATATAATCTACAAAACCCACCATAGATATTTAGCCTAGTGGATTAAAGTAATATTTACATAAAACCTATTCTTGAATGTATATACTACCATTGTTTATAATTGCCCCCAAACAGGAACAATTCCTAAGTTCTATAATGGGTGAATGGATACATAGATTCATTAAGACACAATAAATAGTACAAAATACAAAGGACAAACTCTTGACATGCACAACAAAGTGGAAGGATCTCAAATGCATTTTCATAAATATCTCAAAAAGTTATAATACAATCAATCAACAAATATATGAAAAAATGTTGATCATCACTAGCAATTAGAGAAATGCAAATCAAAACTACTCTAAGATTTCATCTCATTCCAGTCAGAATGGCAGCTATTATGAAGACTAACAACAATAAGTATTGACAAGGATGTGGGAAAAAAGGTACACTCATACACTGCTAGTGGGACTGCAAATTGGTGCAAACCAATATGGAAAGCAATATGGAGATTCCTTGGAAAATTGGGAATGGAACCACCATTTGACCCACCTATCCCTCTCCTCGGTCTATATCCGAAGGGCTTAAAAACAGCATACTACAGGGACACAGCCACATCAATGTTTACAGCAGCACAATTCACAATAGCTAAACTGTGGAACCAATCTAGATGCCCTTTAATAGATGAATAGATTTTAAAAATGTGGAATACTACTCAGCAATAAAAGAGAATAAAATCATGGCATTTGCAGATAAATGGATGGAGTTAGAGAAGATAATAATAAGTGAAGTTATCCAATCTCAAAAAAACAAATGCCGATTTTTTTCTCTGATATTATGAGGCTGATTCATAGTGGGGTAGGGAGGGGGAGCATGGGAGGGATAGCTAGATAGGGCAGAGGGGTGGCAGGGGAAGGAAGGGAGCATGGGGCTAGAAATGATAGTGGAATGTGGTGAATATTATTATCTAAAGTACATGTATGAAGACATGAATTGGTATGGATATACTTTGTATACAACCAAAGATATGAAAAAAATTTTGCTCAATATGTGTAATATAATTGTTATGCATTCTGATGTCATATATAAGTAAAAGAATTAATAATATAAAAAAGAATAAATTAAAAAAATAATACAATAAATGTTGGCCAAGATGTGGGGAAAAAGGTACTCATACATTGCTATGGGGCTGCAAATTGGTACAACCACTTTGGAAAGCAGTATGGAGATTCCTCACAAAACTTGGAATGGAACCACCATTTAACACATGAGCTCATATCCATTCTATAACAGGAGTGAGCTAGCCTCTGTTGCAAACCAAGGGTGTGGTAATTCTCCCTGTTGAATGGCTTAGACTCAATATTTCCTTATTTCAGCTCTGTTCCTCAACACTACTTGGAATAAAATAACAATATTCATCAATACCTCTTCAATGGCACCCGCAGAAATCCTGTGACCTGCAACATTTATGACATCATCAACTCGAGACATAACATACACATAGCCTTCCTCATCCATGTAGCCAGCATCCATGGTGTCATAGTAGCCCTGGAAACAAGAATGAACAAGTTTTATTAGCATGCACTGTTAAGTAATGCAATCATTTTTAAACCTGGTAAAACATAAAATGTAAAAGAAATGGATTTACTGTAGTATTTGACTTTTTCATAACTGGACTACAAAATTAAATTACTTTTGATTTTGAAACCTTACTAGAATCGCTTTGCTCCTCTACCAGCCTGAAATAAATTAAAGTGTTCTTATATATGTTCAAGTTAAATGTTTGAACTTAGAGTTATAAAGTTTATGAACCCAATTACATTTTTTTAATGGAGAAGTAATAGCTCAATATTTCCAATATACCTTGGTATTGCAAAGTAATTCCTTGATAAAGTTCTTCTCTAATTGTATTAATTTTTAAAAGCTTTAAAGCTCAGTATGAATAAATACAAAATAGATCACTGGTTTATTAACATGTATTAGGATTGGACTCAAGCCTCAGTGAAATTTAATAGTGAAAATGAGATAAAATGTGCTACCTCAGAGTAGCAATCATAGTAGGAAGTATCAAGAAAAATAAGAAATAGAAAGAAGAAATATAACTTTCTTTAAGGTTTCTGAGTTTTTTTGATACCTATGTAAAAACCCATTTGTGTTTCTTAACCTTTCTGACACTCAGTATTCTTCTTTTTATTTTTATTTTTTTATTTATTTTATTGGTGAGGGCGGGTACTGGGGATTGAACTCAGGGGCACTCAACCACTGAGTCACATCCCCCAGGCCCTATTTTGTATTTTATTTAGAAACAGGGTCTCACTGAGTTGCTAAGCACTTCCCCATTCCTGAGGTTGGCTTTGAACTCTCTATTCTCCTGTCTCAGCCTACTGAGCTGTTGGGATTACAGGCGTTTACACCACTGCGAATAATAAGACTCATTATTCTTATATGCTAAACGAGTGAAGGAACTCCACCTTCTAAGACCTCTTTGAAGCCTATATGAGACAGTGCATATGAAGTAGAAGACAGACTTTGGCACATCATGAGCCCTCAATAGTATTATTGTAATTACAACTGTTATCACAAGAGGCAGCCTAGAGCAGTAATTAAGAGCACTAACTCTGGAACCAGATGCTTTTGGTTCAAATCCCAGCTCCACCACTTCTTACCCCTGGGAACTTTGTGTGAGTTATTCAACACTTCCATTCTGGTTTGAACCCTCAGATGAGAGATATATGGTCAGGTAAGAAGAGTCACTTCATACAAGTTAACAATATACTGGGGTTCAAATGAAACTTTGGTGTTAAAGGCAATCACGTTAAAAACCACATGTGCATATTATTTGCCACTGTCAGGTTATAATTAATCATATCAGAACCCTGATGCTTTTTAAATGTGGCCCATCAGGTAGATAGATTGAGCTGGCTGGAGTCAACTGTACTGACAAATCTTCTCTGCCACAGTCTATCAGGGGACTGTTCAATCTTGGCTATTGAGGTCATTCCACTCTGAGATATCTTTCTAAAGAAAGCTATTTTAATTCTTGTCATTTGTCTAGTTGATTAGGTAATCTGTCTTTCACACACAAATAATAAAGATAGAATACTAAATACTTGGAGACACTTTTTTTTTAAATGAAATTCCAATTATTCATTTCTTTTTACCCAGAGCATAATGAGGACAAAGTATCACTCTCAGGGCAAGAAGGAGAAGTAAAGGGACAGCAGAGAGACCGTGGGTGGGACTCTGACCTGTGTGATCAATGAAGTGCTGTTATGAACACAATGCACTTTACTGTGACCCAGTGATGGGCAAATGACAAAACAGAAAACAGGAAGATCTTTGTTATCCAGGCTACTGGGGCGAGGAATGGGCTTTGGGAATACTGTTTTTACCCTATGTCTACATTTTTAACATGGAATTTTAAAATAAAGAGTTCATAAAACTTTCAGGAAAGAATGCCAAAAGTACATAAAGGAATGGAAAAAATGCGGCTTCTGTGCTAATCAAATGAATTTTACTCATATAGCCAGGTGTGCATGCGGTCAAGTAATGACATTGTATAATTTCAGTTAGTTGTTCTCAGTCTGTACAGAGGAATTCAGTAGAGGAAATAATATAGAAAGCAAAATAGAAAAAAAAAAGATTTAACAAAAAGAAATTGCTGACATTGAGAGCTTAGGAAAAGCTCTCAGAGAAACTGAGAAACTTCTATGTCCGAAGACTAATAATGCATGTAAAATTGACTTAATTAGATAATTTTAATTTGCATATTCTTATCCCTAAAAGTTGGAGACTGGTTCAGATAACCTTTAAAAGTCACATCCATTATTCTAGAAGCATATTGATCAATTTAATAGGCAAAATTAAAGAAAAATATATAAGAAGATTAAAAAATATATATATTAAAATTCTTACAGGAAATTTTTCAAAGTATAAATGCTTGAATGCTTCCTGATTCTTCCAGAGTCCTGAAAAAGCCCCCGGTGGTAATGGCAACCTTATATAAAAACAGAGCATTTAAAATTACAATGAAAATCATAAGAGCAGATTGATTAGAGCTATCATTTTTCCAGTATGATGAATAATTATAATTCAAATCCCACATTGAAGTACAACCCCTAAACCTGCTGGGCAGGTTGTGTCTAGTGGAAGCCTAAGTATTTGGCTATGTCACAGCACTACTATTGAAGAATGACTGTTATTTGGGAAGGACATAAAGGCTCACACATTTGGCATTCAAACTTATTAGCAATAATCACTGTTTCATAAAGAAGCATAACATCTGCAAAAATGAGCCAAAAATGCATCACTAAATTACTCTTTAATGCTTTCATCATAGGAAAATAAATTCATCTTTTTTTTTAAAATACCAGGATAGCAACTGTCACCTTTGCCTCTCGGTGCAATGGAATGTTCCAGGTTAGCATCCAGTATACAATCTTATCTTCACAGTCAGTATTCTTCACACAGAATTCCCTGGGAATTCTCTATCCCTGCTCACTCTTCTATTCTTTCTTTTCATAACCATCTAGCACTATGTACTTTCTCATTCCCAGGAACATATAGAAGTCTTGAGCCTATTGAATAGACGGTCCTACTTATTTTTTCTTTCCAGTGAATTTCCTAGAATTCTTCCTTCTTTCCTCTATAGTATCAATTAGGTGTTATGTGCATGGCTTAATTGTATCCATCTATAATTTATCTGTCATCTATCTATGTGCACATAAATAAATGAACAAAATGTTCATCTTGGTTGCATGTAGGAAGTTTCCACTCCACAAAGACAATCGTTCAAATTGTTTTCTGGGTACCAGTGGGAAATTTGGGTACTATAAAACTTGATGATTTTCAAAAATGCTCCCGTATTCATACAATTAAAATAAAAATGCTCAGTTCTAACTTCATCCTTCTGATGCTGAAAAAAGTCAAGATGGTTACTGCTCACTTTAGGAGATACCAAACACCTTTCCCACAAGAAAGATTTTCAGTTCTGACAGAATAAAAGGGGAAGCAGTGCAATTGGATGGCCACCCCAGGCTTACACCTCCACAACACTGAATTTTATCTCAGCATTGTCAGGAAGAAAATGCGGCTAGAGGTAGGAGCAGCTGCCAATGCCTTTCTGGACAATCCAGCTGATAGCGCCCATTTCCACCATGGTCAGCTTGCTAGTAGTAATCCTCATTAGGGCTTTCCCTTTGCTATGTGCTTTTCTCCCCCCTGCCACTTTTTTAAAGAAAGAGGAAATATGCTATGCTAGCATTTCCGTACCTCACATTATTACATAAATTGCATGTAAAAGCATTTCATAATCTATTAAAAAAAAAAACTACAGAAATGCTGGTGTATTTTGCTACTGCTTCTATTCCCTCCTTTACTGTTCATCCTTAAATCTATTTGAAGATAGCAGGCTGAAATTGATAATCCCCCCCAAATTCTTTTAGCTGATTTTACTGTGCTAATCCTGAATACTCATGTACAAATTATGAGATTGTTTTAATCAATTTGTTAATATTCTGCAAAAAAAAGAGTGAAACATCACTCATTATTAAGCACCTAAGCTAAACATTAACATGGCACTCACTATAAAGTCAATTTAATGGCATTTTCAGAATGCTACAGGTAAAAAAAAAAAATGAAGAAGAGAACTCTAAGAAGAAATGGGAAAATGAATGTTAATAAGAAGCAAAAGGTATAACAGTAATGAATGAAACAGATGCAAAATAAATAAGATAAATTTGATAGAGATGTGCATGAATAAGAGATAATTTTAGTTGCTCTTAGGAAATATATCATAATATATACTCCTTTCAGTATTTCTTTGTGTCATTTTGTACAGATGCATGGGTGTATGCATTAAAAATATCTTACTACTTATAGTACAAAGAAAATAAAAGTAACTAAAATAATAAATAAAAGTAACCAAAATAATAAATTGTAACTGACATTCATACTGGAATGAGGATAAAAGAATGGTGCGATTGCTGATATACAGGGATGTAGATCCAAATAAATTAAGCACATAATATTGCCTGTGCTGAGATATATATGTATCTAAGGGCCTATTACTGAACAAACATTTCTCTCATTTTATCTACTGTGAATCAAAGATGTTGGTTTACAAATGGCCACATAGTAGTATTTCCTCACATTAGAGACTCTCTCTTTTTCTCTCTATTTTTTTTGGAGATCACTGACTAGACAACAATAATGTGATAATACTGAATTATCAATGTTTTTTAAAAGAAGGTAATTGTGTAATCCAATTATATTCCAGAAGAATCTGAAATCAGTGTAATGAAATGGATAACTGAAATACACAGTAAAACAATAAAAATTAAATGTGAGGGATGAAGAAGAGAGATGAATTAAAGCTGACTCTAAAGCTTCCAGTCTAGATCAATAATAATACAAACAAAAGGAGCTCAAAAGCTCAAACATAGCAAAAGCAACATTTTCAGGAGAGGTCACATATTAGAATTTGGAGAAGTAGAGAGGAGATAGATAATTTGGTTTAGATGTTGAATTTTAGGAATCTCTGGCATCATCGGTAGAACCATGAAATAAGAAGTCCATAAATCCACATCTGAGAATCAATGTATGGTGAGCCTGGACAGTGAGATAGACATGCTCCTCAGACGTAGCTGGGTAATCACAGAACTTAGAGATCAGTGGATAATCCAGATAAAGTTTATGGAAGAGAAAGGAGAAATCCAAAGTCAAACACAGTGTTCAAAAAGGATTAAAGAAAATGACCACTGGACAAAAAAAAAAAAAAAAAATGAGAGATGTCTGGGAATGAGAATTTATATCACAGGCACCACCAAAGTAGAGCATTAATAATGACCAAGTGCTCAACAAAGTGTAAAGGTTGTTTTCAACCTGGTTCAACAAAAGAAATGAAACTTTACAAGTAAGATACTTTGAATATTCTTATGATTGCCATTTCAGGCAAATGGAGCAAGCAACAACTGGAGTACCTAGAGGCAGTAAGTTAGATTATACTTTTTATTAGTTTGTGGGTGACTGAAAGGAATGATATAAGTCATTGGTTTAATTCAGAGAGAGGCAGGTTGATGTAGGACAGGGAAGATGGAAGTAGAACTAGCTGAGAGAAAATGAAGGTGTAAAAACAAGAAAAGAAAACAATTGAGAGATTATGCCATTGTTTTATTCATTCACTCATTCATTTGTGAACTAACTCAAGAATTCATTTTATTCATTCATTCAGTATTTTTGGGGGGCTTGGTATTCATCAATCAGTGTGGTAAGCATTAATAATACAAAAATTTAAACTCTGGTCTCTGATATATAGCAATTCCCACACAGAGTAAATTACAAGAAATTCTGTATTTTTGAAAAGCAAATGAGAAGGAAGATTGATGCACATGATACCCACTCCCTTAAGTCAACAATAATGTAAAAATGTAAATACTCAGGTGTTTTTTTTTTTCAGGCATGCTTTATAGTAAGTGATTAAACCTTGCACTACCAGAGGCTCTTGAAATAAGTTTTATCCCTACCCAAAATGTGGAACTGCTGGAAATGGCATATATGTATATCTCAAGGTATTTCTGAAATGCCCCCAGAAAACTGCTTTGCTATACACAAATCTAACTGAAGGTCAGACTAGAAAGTAAGACAGGATATTACAATTGGTAATTGGTAAGGCAAAATGAGGCGATACTCTCCTGTTCCTCACAAAGTGTGGTGTCTTTAAAAATTCAGATGATGTTATCTGAATATCAAAAATGGTGTCTAAGGAGGAAACTCTGAGAAGAACCATACAAGAGAAAGAAAAGCAGAAAAGAATAAAGTTACCAGAATTGGAAGTATTTGTGATACATACATATTAAAAAAGTAACATGTGAAAAAATATTCTATGCTTTTATAATGAATCTTATTGTCATGTACAAATAAAAAGAACCAATAAAGAAAAAAAGGAGAGAAAAAGAAAGATCCAGACAGAAGTTATGTGTGTATAAGACAGACAGAATTCGGTTTTTTTGCAATATTCTGAATGAACACTTTTCTCTCCAATGCTATCTGAAGGATTATCCAACATTAAGTGCAATTCTTTCTTCTGGAATAATGGTGCACTGGGGATCTTTTTCTGAAACTAGAAAAACAAATGCTTTTTCTGAGGTTAAACATAAAAATGCAATGCACTTGCAGAAGGAAGGAAAAGATAGGAAAAAAAAAGAAGAAATGGGGCTGGTTAATGCATATACTCAACCTTCAAATTGGAAAACAAATGCTACCATCCTGTGAAATTTTACACAACTCTTCCAAGCAAAGTGAAAACCGGGTATTTATTATAACTCCTCAAAGGGTTAATCAGTAGCTCCTGGTAGATAATGTCCTTTCCAAAGAGATCATTCTGATGGGAGAAGAGGAATAAATGAGGCGAGTGATACTGGTGTGGGAGGGAGGTATCAGAATGCAGGGAAATCCTTCAACCATGAGGGCAGGAGGGGAATGTCCATCACTCTAGAAGGTTATACATCCCAAGCATTCTGCAGTATAAAACTCCCAGATGTCTCCTATTCCAGATAAAGGATGATCTATCTGTATTCACTACTAAAACAGGAATCCCTGTAGATTCAGAAATAAATTGAAAACAAAACTCCAGTTTCCCAGAGAAATCTGGAGTTAAATTCTAACTTTGTACTCCTGGTACTTCCTACAGGGTCCTTAGGCTTTACTTAAGATTTTCATATGAAGTTACTTTTTATCTCCCCAGAAGACACTGCCTAGGCCATCATTTCATTCTCTGTGGGCAAAGGACTGGGTGATAATGTGAATTCTAACTGTGTAACTACTAATGATGCTTCCTTTCTTATGTCTGAAATGAGGATAATATCTGTCCCTTTGTCTGCCTCTGAGAGTCATTAGGAGGCTAACCAGGGATCATACTAAGATCTGTACATGAGATTTAAATAGGAGAAGGATTATGTGACATTGTTGGTTTTACTCAAAGGATACTGGATGAAAAGAGAGATGTCCTGGCTCTTTCCCAAGATGGCAGTATGGTGACTGAATCACTGCTGTGAAGGCATAGAGATGTGAAAAAAAAAATATATCATTAAAAGCCAAGAGTTCAATATCTGGAGAATGAGAAATTGGCAGGCAGTTAAGTAAAAGCCACTTGGGCAATTCCATACAGCTCCCTCGCACCCACTGCTGTCCATGGGGCACAGGTCAGCAGAACACAGCATGGGTGAATAAGCAGCATTTCCAATAGCAACAACAGATCTGGTCAGAAACACTTACGCCCATCAGAAAGGAAGAGCCAGAGACCTATGGCTTTAATAACAGAGAGCACCGTGGTACCAAGGCAGGCAATTGTAGTTAAAATTTTCTTTCATACTCTGCTCTCTGTTGCCTGAAAATTACTGACTCATAGTTTTATTTCTGCACTTTAGAGCTCTGGATGCAATTACAGGAGCACCTTCTAAAATTCATGAGCATTTTGTATTCATAGCAACTCAGATACCATAACTTTCTCACTAAATTAACTGCTTGGAGTATGCTTCAAAATCAAAAGAATTTTTTAATGTCTATGTGGGCTTGAAGTTTTCTCTCCTGCTAGAAAGGTAAATTCTGTGAATGCAAGTAACCTTCTAAGACACTAAAAACTGTTGGATCCTGTTTATCATATACCATAGCTTATAGTAGTTTAAGAATCATTAAAATTTTTACCTTCTAGTAAAGGGTCCACAGAAAAGAAATTATGTCTGGAATGCCACAACAAAGCAGGTGGGAAAGCTAAGCTAATCAAGAGATTTGTGGGTTTTGTTCCTGTGTTTTTTTTTAATAAATCATGAGGTCTAAACAAGGACCTACATGAGCAACTCTTATTGATGTAAATATGAAAACATTCTACACATGCTGCAAACAGCCACTGACATGCATGGGAAATTTTTATATTGATGATTTACAGTAGAGTAGGTATTAGCAATGAGGTTTTCAAAAGTGTGTCCTTTCTTTCATAGATAAAATTGATTTCCTGAAAAACAGTTCCACATTTGTTCTATTGAGGGCAGAGAGGGGAGAAAAATGCCTTTTTGTGATCTTTGGTTGTTTTCTGATTATTTTCCCCTTACCTTTCTAATGCAATCATATATGTAATCTTTTTAGATATTCAGTTTCACCCTTAACCAATAGGAGGAACAAAATCCCAAAGCACGTCTTTATATATTGCATCCTCATAATTCATAATAAAATCTCACAACCCCAGGTCTATAAAATAAAATTCCATGCTTAGGAATACAGAGGGGAAAAAAATCATTCTGAACTGGTAACAATCTAGACAATGGATTGCTTTAAGGCAACATTTGTGTTACTTTCAAGGACTTGGAATAACATAAGGCCATAAGGAAAAGTCATAGTTTATGTGGGATATGGCTGTATTTCAGTATCTCTGAATGGATGCAGAGCAAAATTACCCATAATTAGAGTGACAGAACCCAGGAGAGGTTCAAAACTGTGCTGACATCAAATGCCACCTCTGGGATCTTAAAAGAGTTGCTTTATGAAATAGATGACTCATTTATAGTTAGGTTATATAACAATGTATGCAGTTAGAGTGCTTTGAAAAGCTCTCAAAAACAATGTGCTTCCTTAAGCAATTTAAACATCAACCCACAATTGTGTTCATACTATTTTCTTGAGCAAGCCCTCCACCCCCCTTGCTATTTGTCTCCTAATGGGTCATATTTCAACTTGTTCTATGTGAATATGGATTTTGATTTAGAGAACTATGACTACTAATGGCATATTCAATATTTATTTTTTCCCTATTTTAGGATATACTATCTTAAAATCAAAACTTTACAAAAAATAATATAGTGCCTATATGTTTACTGATAACATAAAAGTATGAGGAAGAAAATGTGCCGTGGTGTGTATCTGCTCTATTAACTTTTATAAAGTTAAAATATCTCCATGAGAAGAAATACATTTTACTACTGCTTTTCTTGTAATTTCCACAGCACTTAAAATATTTTATTAAAGGGAGACAGTCTCCGAATGCTAAGTAATAAGAGTTCTTTTTAATTCTAAGAGAAATAAATGAGAAAACAAATCTCTTTTAAGACCTGACATACAATGTTTTATATTTATAGCAGCTCATTCTGGTGAATTATACTACGTAAGAAGTATCAGTAAAGCCTTAAAAAATAATGATCATAAGATGAATCAATGAAAACAATCTGTACCAATTATTTAAATGCACATATTATGTGGCTTCCAACTTAATCAACTTCCACTTCAGCTTTCACTAGTGTCAACATTTTTTTTTTTTTTTTGTACCAGGGATTGAACTCAGGGACCCTCAAACACTGAGCCACGTCTCCAGCCCTATTTAGTATTTTATTTAGAGATAAGGTCTCACTCGGTTGCTTAGTACCTTGCTTTTGCTGAGGCTGGCTTTGAACTCATGATCCTCCTGCCTTGACCTTCTGAACCGCTGGGATTCCAGGCATGCGCCACTTTGCCTGGCTAGTGTTAACAATTTTAAAGTATTGATTGCAAAGTAATTTTAAATATTTCACTTCAAACATTAGCATTTTTACCTATCAAGTGAACAATGATGAACAATGTTAACAAAGAATGGTGGTATTTGGTTAAGTTGGGAATTTTATACTATGTAACTCTTTGACCCCAGTAATTATACATTTAGCAATTATTAAATACTATATCAATAATTAGAAAAGGAAAAAAGACAAAGCAAAAAGTGTATTTAATACAATATTACTTATAATCATAACAATTCAAAGAGTGAATACAAAGACTTTTACAGGACAGAGTAAAAATTAACAATACTTTTGAAGGGCTGAAGAGGTAGCTCAGAGGTAGAGCACTTGACTAGCATATACAAAGTGCTGGATTCAACTCCCAGCACCCTCAAGACAAAAATGCTTCTGAGGAAGGTTTAAGATAAAACAGTAATCTATGAAAACATATCTAATTAATTCAATTATGTAAAATGCTTGTCAAAAAGTAGACAGCCATATAGTCATATGTCACCTTATGATGTGATATGTTCTGAGAAATGTGTCCTGAGTGATGTAGATGCTATGTGAGCATCTCAAAGTGCTTTATACACACTTCTTGAAGGTATAAGTCTACTAGTTGATACAGTCTTGATTGCAGGACAAATATGACATTTATAAGGCCACTGCCAGCATAAATTGTTATATTGCGTTACAGTAAATATTTTTTAAGTAGATGGAATACACTTTTAAAGTAATGATAAAAAGTCTAGCTATAGTAAATATACAAACCAGTAACATGTTTATATACTGATTATCAACTATAACATACTGTATATAATCTTATGTGCTATACTTTCAAAAGACTGGTAGAGCCATAGGTTTATATCAGCATGAACACAAGCTCATGAGTAACAGGTTGCCCTATGATGCCAGTAAGTGATAGGAACTTTTCAGCCTCCATCCTAAACTTAAGGAAATACTACCATATATGGGGTCCCACGTTGATTGCAATGTCATTTTGCAGCACAGACCATGTATTCCAAATTAACAATGAATTGCTGTTAGATACAAGTTTCCTTTATAATCTTCACATTATTTGTATAATCAGAAAAAAAGTTATTTTTAAAAAGTGCAAGATTTATTTTTTTTAAATTATATGTAAATTTAAAAAAAATATTTTATGGGGTTTCCATCTTTAAGTTACAACAGAGTTGATATAATTCTCAAGCAGTACACAGACTCATTTTGCAACAACCTCACTTATACTATTAATCTAATAACTCCATTATTTTCCTTAATATAATATACCCACTTTGCCCTTTTAAATAATAGCATTGAAAAGTTTGCTTACTTTACCACAATATTTCCTAAACATCGAGCCTTCAGTTTTTGCATGTTGTCATCCAAAATCATAACTACAAAGTAAAATATAAATAAAATTTTGAATAAAAATGTTTATAAAATAAAAATGTTAAAGCGTAAACATTTTTTCATATTTTCTATATTCAACCGCCAAACTCTAGCTTAAAAAGTGATTTTTAAATCCTCTAAGACCCTGAATATATACAAATAGTTAAAATATCCTAGAGAAATTATGGACATTTGTTTGATTCTCTATGAGATCATAAATTTTCCTTCATAATCTCCCTTAAAGACACTGTATTTCAAATTTGTTGGCATATATAAGATTTCATAATCTTTGTTAATTTACTTATACCCTTCTCATCAGTTAAGAACATTCAGAATATGTTCATCTTTTCAAATTTAAAGGAAATAAAGTTTAAAATACATCAAAAATAGTACACAAAATAAAAATAAAACTTTTAAAAAGCACAAAAACCCACTTATTCTGATTTAAGTCTTCATATCCACTTATGAGATTTAAATTACTTGAATTTAATCTTCTGAAATATTATTCAAATGTCTTCTGTGATATCTCAATAAAACTCTGAATGTGTTTATTCTAAGCTTGTATCCACATTCAGTACCCCTCACTGCAAACTAAAATGAAGACACATCAGTATCATCTAGACTTTAATGGGGTCTTTATGTGGTTCTGTTCACCCAGGTCATTCAACTTAAGCAGCTATGAGAGGAGGTAGACACTGGGCCCATACATAGAAAAGTGCTCCCATCTTTGTGCTCCTGGAGCACTTTGTTTATACACTATTTTGACAATTAGTAGAGTTATGAGTGTCTGTATTTCACTAGCTTGTGAGTTCACTAGAGGTAGAGGCCATGCCTAAATTATCTTTGTTTCTCAAATCTCAGGACAGTGGCAACATTGCTATGTGCCCTGAGAATACTCTATTACCTCTTCAGTTTTCCTACATATAATATAGGAGCAATTCCCTTTTTATTGTTTTGGCATAAAAATTACTAGGGGAGCAGCTTGGGAGGCTGAGGCAGGAGGATCAAGAGTTCAAAGCCAGCCTCAGCAACTTAGCAAAGGCCTAAGCAGCTCTTCAAGACCCTGTCTCTAAATTAAATACACAAAAGGGCTGGGGATGTGGATCGGTGGTTAAGTATCCCTAAGTTCAATCTCCAGTACCAAAAAAAAAAAAAAAGGAAAAAAAAAAACTACTGTACTAGGGAAGAGGAAAGTTAAGTGACAAGCTTGCATAAGGTACTCAATGAAGTAAAATTAAGTGTTATACCACATTTAAGGTTTTTTCTGGTACCTGGGTTATGAGAGTTTAATTGTCTGCAAGCCAGCAGCTTTCAGAGAACCAGAAACTTCTGTACTGAAGTTCTATGAGGCATCAAAGCCTCACTCTTTCTTACATCTGGATACAAAAGACATACTGAAGGGAAATGTGTCTAACACCTCCCCCATTGGTGACCCCTAAAAATGTCTCAACACAAAAGCATCTTTTCTGATAAAAGAAACAGGGATGACAGAGCTGTTCAAATGGGGGATTTCACTAAATTTGGGTTCACCTGTCTATGGCTAGAGAAGGCACTGACTATATATTTATCCTGAATAAAGAGTCTAAAGTGTCTTTTTATAAATATGGCTGCCAGTTTAAACTAAATGACCTGGGTTTCCCAAAGTAGACATTGTTCAAGGAGGAAAATGCACTATTCTTATGTTAGAGAGGCAAAAGACAAATCTCTATAAATTTTGTTAAGAATATTACTGGGAGGGGTGAGGGTGTAGCTCATTGGCAGAGTACCTGCCCAGCATTCACAGAGCTCTAGGGTCAATCCCAAGTATTCTACTGTAAATCATACTCTATTCCCTAAATCTGACTTTTCCTCATAAAATCTATTAAGGTACATAATGAGACCTTATGAAAATGACACAACCTTGGTGCCGCATTCTTCATTTCCTATAAAATGAATGGATAAATAAATAAAATGAATGTGAATCAAAGTCAAATCAGTCTGGCTTCTCTGAAACATCACTAGTAATACTAGCTAAGACATTAATACTAGCTAAAATTTGTTCCATCTTTCTATTGACCAGGCACTGTGTTAATGCTTTGCTCCATAATGTCACAATTCAGCCCCCTTAGAAAGTATATAAAAGTATTATTCTTATTCAGAAATATGAAAACTAAATGTTTGAAAAGTTAGCTGTATATTTATGGAAATGGAGCCAAGGGAAATTATTCACCTATTATTATGATTGCTATAAATTTTAAAACAAATACAAAAAATATACCTCTGTTACTTAAAGCCAGCATCAAAGAAATGTTTTCTTTTAGAATCCTCACTTGACTGATATAGTGGTGCATACCTCTAATTTCAGTGACTTGGGAGGGTGAGGCAGGAAAATTGCAAGTTTAAGGCCAGCCTCAACAGTTTAGTGAGGAGATCCTGTCTCATGCAGCTTAATGGTGGAGCACCCTACATTCAATCCCCAGTACCCCACCCCCCAAAAAAAAGAACTCTTATTCATCTTATTTTCACCCAATAAGATTAAAAAGCCTTCTCCTCATGCCTAAATTAAGAGTAGTATGTGTTAGGGAATCAGCAGCCAATTTTGTAACAAAAGCAAGAAACAAATGAGATAAAACACAGTGGTTTACACTGTCCTGAGGAACTAACCAGTCAAGCTATCCTAGGAAAATTATTTAGTCTCTTTGAGTATCACGCTACTGATCTCTAAATGGCTACAGTGTCTCTAAAGTAAATATGCTTCAACATTATGTTCCCCACAGTCATATCACACCACATTCTTCAAGTGCCTTATAAATGATATTGTTCTTTTGCTGTTACAACCATTTAGATAGAACATGTCCCTGGAAGACCATGTTACTTTTGACAGCAAAAATTAAGACATTTGAGCTGAGGTTGTAGCTCAGTGATAGAGTTCTCGCCCAACACATGTGAGGCACTGGGTTTAATCCTCAGCATCACATAAAAACAAAATAAAGGTTATTGTATCTACCTACATCTAAAACAAATATTTTTAAAAATTTTAAGACATTCATTTTTTTTTTGTTTGGTACCAGGGATTAAATTCAGGGCCACTTGATCACTAAATCACATCCCCAGCCCTATTCTGTATTTTATTTAGAGACATGGTCTCAGTGAGTTGCTTAGCACCTTGCTTTTGTTGAGGCTGGCTTTGAACTTGTGATCCTCCTGCCTCAGCCTCCTGAGCCAGTAGGATTACAGGCATCTGCTACCGTGCATTCATCCAATGAGATACCTATTAAGTACATGGAAGATTTCATAAAACATAATATATATACTAGGAGCAGGAAAATATCTAAATTTATTAACATTGCATATTTAAAATGATCACAGTCATTTCTTACCATTGTATCCTGGAACACATTTTCCTGCTTGTCCTGGAGGAGGTGTTTTAGAGTTACCTAATCCAATGCATGATGCTGTAATTGGAGATCCAGTTTCTGAAGAAAGAAATGCAGTTATCATGCAGTGTTTCAATGTGGAATTGTAATGCTGCCTCTGCATGCACATTCTTTTTTTTTATTATTGGTTGTTCAAAACATTACAAAGCTCATGATATATCATCTTTCATATATTTGACTCAATTGGGTTATGAACTCCCATTTTTACCCCAAATACAAATTGCAGAATCACATCGGTTACACACTCACATTTTTACATAATGGCATATTAGTGACTGTTGTATTCTGCTACCTTTCCTATCCCCTACTATCCCCCCTCGCCTCCCCTCCCATCTTCCCTCTCTACCTCATCTGCTGTTGTTCAATTCTCTCCCTTGTTTCCCCAGCCCCTTTCCCCTCACAACCTCTTATATGTAATTTTGTGTAACATTGAGGGTCTCCTACCATTTCCATATGCTTTCCCTTCTCTCTCCCTTTCTCTCCCCCCACTCGTCTTTGTTTAATGTTAATCTTTTCCTCATCTGCATGCACATTCTAACCCCTCCTAGTTTGCCTCCTACTTCACTTGCATTAGGAAGAGATGAATATTTCAAATGTATTATTTAAAAATAAAACAATACAATAATTTATAATGTTTCTATAGTTTTAGAACTTAAAGGTATGGATTTATAATAATGTATATAGTAGTGTTTCTTCTAAAGAGGGGAAAGGCTGCTCTACTCTGCTTGTTGGTAGATCAAGAGCCATGAAAAACAGAAAATGCTATGGCTGTGAAGCTTTTACAACAAAGGTTAAAAGCCAGATCACTAGAAAGATGATTTCTCTTGACTCACCTAAGTTATTATGTATATCATTATAAATTATAGCTCAGGGCTAAACATTGCAGGTATTTGTAGCTTGTTCTCTGAATTAAATAGCCTCCTTTGTTTTTAAAATAAATGTGCGAACAATGTCATGCTTTAATTTCCTAACAACTGCACTTGCCTAGAGACCCTGCATCTCACACTGAATCTGTCAGTGCTTTAGCAACTCATTTTGGGTCTGTTGACCCTGCAAGTCTAGAAGCCCCTAGACATAGGAAGGCATATGTTCATGCTATAGTAGTTCATCAAGACCATAAAGTTATAATAAGCTTACATAGACTAACAAAAGTGTTAAATTTCTTTTCTTCATCTCAAGTTAAAATAGGATAATTTTTAAGGAGGAATGCATTTGTTATACCTGAATACAAATTTGGAGTGTCCAGAATCTTAAGGCTATAAAATGTTTATGTATGGAAAGGGAGGATAAGAGGACATTGATATGAAAAGTTTGGGAACTACTGTCTTAACATTATACTCACAAACTTACACAAAAATACCTGCAAGGGATTAACTGTCAAATCAATCATATACAAAGTAATACAAAAATTAGAAAACATTCATCTTTCTAAATATGCAGAATGTATTCCTTCTTCCATGCTGTGAACCATAATTTACTATACATTTATATCACCTTAGAATGATGGGAAGAATTTATGACTGTTCCTTACCCTTCCAGAGTAGTTCAGTTTGTTGTTCACATTTTACAAATGGTGGCTCATCTGGCATTAATAACAGAAGATGGACTCTTGAACATGAAAACATAGCTCCTAAGTCACAGTCTAGTGCTTAGGATGCTAAGCTATATGCTCAATGCCAAGTCTGAGAAAGTCACCAGAACTAGATAATTCTGATGTTTTAACAGTGAGTCCACAAATAGTTTTATATCATGACAAAAATTGGGAAGAAGCCTTATGAAATGGCATTCCACAGTCAGGCCATACCTGCCCATTTACCCCACAGCACAATCAAAGCACAGAAGGAAATCCACACGGTTGGAAGGGTTAACAGCGTTTTCTCCTTTGTCCTATTTTATCTTATTTATGAATGTCTAGGTATTTACCTGGGCTCTCCTTCAAAATTGATTTGAGAGACATAAGCAAGAGAGAGGACAGAAAGCAACCTTATAGAGTGAAGTGCTTAAAGGTCCACAGGATGCCAAGTTCTGTTCCATACAGGATCAGAGGCTACGAGGACACATTAGGAAAGGAGATCACCCCTTCAACCTGCTTCTGTTTCTCTTTCAACCCTGGTGGAAGGTAGCTGCTAAATCAGCCTCTTTCAAAAATGTTTTTTGCCCAGTTTAGTTTATGAAGAGGGGCACTCCCATTATATGAGTTCAAACTCTCTGCAGTTCTTGATACCAGAAGGTCTCCACTACTTGTCAACAGATGGCTCTAGAATCTACAAGTGAGACACCAGTGGTACCCACCTATGGCTCCAGTACCTACCACCTAGAGAGAGAAAAAAACAAAACAAAACAAAAAACAATGAAAAACACCTCATGACAACAAAACTCAAACTACTCCAAACTTGATTCCATCTTGCTGTAGATTATTATACAAGATGTCAGCACTTTGTTCTTATCCCACTGGGAGAAGGTGAGTGTGGAAAGGGAGCGAGAAGGAAGCTCAGTCTCAAATGGAGGAGGATACACGGACGGACGGATCAGCTAGACACTGTCACCAACCCTGCCTGAGTAGGCTGACACTCACACCTCCCAAGATTCTTAAGTATCTTCGTATAGAGATTATTATTCTTAACCTTCAGCTGTTTTGTTAGTTTATGATTACAATACAGCTACAAAAAGTGAGTTTTTCGGTATAATGAACTTGAATCTAGATTTTAAGGGCACTGAGAAGGATGATTCATTCAAGTTACTTGAAGTAGATGAAATAAGTTTATGCTTTGAACATTGGAAATTCAAGTATCCTATTGACCTTATTTTGAAATTTATTTAGGTATTGAATCAGAGCTATTGCTCCTGAAGTACAGATGATACCATCAGAAAAAAAATAAATAAAATGGTGGTTCCTAAGACTCCAATAGGAGCCGTCGTTAGGATAAAAGCAGGATGAGAAAGGCCATCATAGACACTTTGGTTTCTCTCTTTGTACCTCTGAACATCCTAGGATCAAAGACTGATCCATCTGCAGCACAAACATATACACATGTGGCACACATTCCTACACGTGGACCTATACCTGTCCAGTCTCCCAAGCTGGCCAAGTGCAGAACAGACTTTCTGGATAGAGAAAGCCCTCAGGCTGCAGTTCTTGACTAAAATCTTAATGGCTCTCAGAGCCCCACCTCAAAGATGTTCCTAAAACATCTGCTGCACACCACCCAGGCTATAATTAACTGGCCAGCAGTTATCTAGGGAGAGAGGAAGTACAGATGTCCTGCTGTGAGTGGGAAATAGCTACATTAAACAAACCAGAACATTCTCCTTAAGGAAGAGAATTGGAAACTGCATTTGGAGAAAACTTTACAAAGATATCTAACCACATACAGAGAAGTAAAACTAAGCAATCATAGTGGGGTAGGGAGAGGGAACATGGGAGGAATACATGAACTCTACACAGGGAAGAGGGGTGGGAGGGGAAGGGAGGGGGAAGGGGATTAGCAATGATGGAGAAACGTGATGGACATCATTATCCAAATAACTTGTATGAAGACATGAACTGGTGTGAACATACTTTATATATAGAGATATGAAAAATTGTGTTCTATATGTGTAGTAAGAATTGTGAGGCATTCTGCTGTCATGTGTTTAAAAAATAAAAGCAATTAAAAAAAAAACTAAGCAAATCACCAGTACAATCTCTTTAGCTCAGAGACAACCAGTAGGAGGATGGCAAGGAACCAATACATGTGAAGAGTGTCACACAGGCACATTTATCTCATTCATCTGCAGAAGCCAATACAGAAACCTCATAGAATCTTTACTGCCTCACTCTGTTGCATAGTGAGTTGCTACCCAATGGAATTTTCCTTAAAAAACAAAACAAAACAAAAAAAACCTTCTAACTGAAGGGGAAAAAAGAAAGAACTAATAGACATAATATTTCAAAAATGATTATGCTATGCACATTGCATTTAATCCAACTATAAGACTATAGGGAGAAAATGAAATATTCTTTTTATATATGATAAATACTCAGACCTAGTCAAAAAAATTAAACAGTTTTTCCTAGTCCAGACTATTTCAAAGAAGTATATGAATATAACAGGCAAGTAAATCACTCCTGAAGTTGTCATGGAGAACACAGAGGGTGTGCCGGTCACCTAGACTAAGTCTCAGCAGAGGAAGAAAATTCCTTATGGCAGGGAGTGAGAACAGGCTGTCATATCTGCAAATGGAAGCAGTGGTGGTATAGTTCACTTAATTAGCAAACATTCATTGAATAGTTATTATGAACTAGCTGCTATTTTAAGAACTAAGGATATGAGGATACAGCAATAAACCAAAGTGACTCAAATCCTTACCCTCACAGAGTTCACATTCTAGTTGGGGAGACAAGCAATATACAATATACAAAATTAAAATATATATTAAAGAATGATAAATGCTAGGAAAAAACTAAAGCATAGACAGAGTTATAAAATGTCACAAGAGGTTGCAATTTTATATTGTTTGGGCAGGAATGATCTTCCAGCTCAAGAAAGTGACCTTTGAGTCAACACCTGAAAGAAATGAGGACATGGGACAGAAATATTTAGAAAGAGGGACCCTCAAAAGCAAAGTTCTCAAGGTAGGCTTTTTCCTAGAGTGTTCCAGAACAATGGGACAATGAATGTGTTAAAGCAGAAAGTATTAATAGGAAATAAGGTCGGAGATAAAGTGAGGGGAAAGATCATTTCATAATACTGCAAAGATTTTACGGCCAGATTTATTATATTTCGACTTCCAGAGAGATGAATGAGAGGAAAGGCAGAGACATAGACCTGCATTAGAATAATGGGGTAATAGATCCTGTGACTCCCTGAACATCAGAAACCAATTCTTATGACAATTCACAAGATTGTACTTAGGACTCAGGTGGTAGATGGATTCAAATTGTATGGGTAGATGGCCCACACAAACTAAAAATAATCATTTTGTTATCTATCTACCTATGTATCTATGCATTTCTGAAAGGTAATTTGGCAACACTTACAAAAAGTTCTAAAATTACA